CATCTACAGTGAATCTTTAATTGGTTCTGCTTTTTCACGAGAGACATCGCGAAAACGCGGATGAAAAACCGTGATTTTATTTTGCTTAAGAGAGCTTAGAAAGCTACGAATCTACAATAGATTGAATAGCTGCAAGTCATGATGTGTTTGTTTCTTTCCTGTACGGCAAACTGCAAAAACCAAAATGTCTTTTCACAGGGACTTATGCGCCAGACTTTGATAATTGTTTGACCCTATTGTCATTTAACTTACAAGTGCGACACATCCTTCAGAATGCTCTTAGAATATAGCCAACATGGTTACGTCCAGCATATGTTGAACAAAATACCTCAAGAGGACGTTTTTGGAAGCATTTATTACGCAAACGCATCTTAACAAATTGAAAAAAGCAGATTGAAAGGTCATTCTACGAAAATATCATGAAAGCACCAGAATCCGCTATTGATACGTGTTTGTACGGTTCCGTTGTGGGGATGGATAAGCTATTGGCACTGCGTTCGCATGACAATCAGTCTTCAGACTCAAATTCGATGTTTAAGCACTTAATTTGCGACGAGTGCGAGCAAAAAACGGCTCAAGTGACATGCGACGACTGTGGTCTAGTGTATTGCAGTCAATGCGACGTCCACAGACATCGTAAAGGAAAATTGCTATTACATCAACGAGTGAGAATCTTTACATTACAAACTGAAAGGCCAGAAATTGACACGACGCAAGAAGCTGAAACCTTCACTGTTACCTGGAAAAATGACGACGTGTGCAAATGGTTGAACGCTCACGATTTAACCCTTTTTGTCGAAGAAGCACAAGTCCAGCAACTTACAGGAGTGACTTTGTTATCTCCGAAGAGCTTGGAGAAGTTTCTTGATGCATCAGGAGTCAGTCGTAGCCATAAAAAAAAGCTACAAAGAGAGGTGCAAAAGCTGACAAGTTCGATACTGGAGCAGAAAGTAATCTCGGCTACGACACCTTCGCCTCCAGTGAAAAAGATGAGCACTTTACACCAAAGTGGTGGCTTTAATCTGCATGTTGATGTTGATTCTGGGGGAGCAAAGTCTTTTCCTCGACGTGGAGCGAGGTTGAAGCCGTTGGGATTGAGTCAGTTGACAATTGAAGTGAGCGATGGCGACCGGGAGATTAAATCAGCCCCAAAACGAAGCCGACAAAACGTGGAATCACTTGGATTGGATATTGCTTTAGTCAAAAAGGAAGAAAAGACAATGGCGGCATCATTTGATTTCTCGGCAACTGGTCGACTTCAGACGCAAGGCTTTGAAATTGACGTAAGGACAGTCATGACAAACCACAAATGCTTTATACACTGTGCATGTAGACTAATTGTGAATTGGATTACAGACACGGGGAATTACGAATGCTCCATTTTTAACTTCACCGCAGCATCCAGTCAGGGAGAGACACCATTCGTCTGCAAAAGATTTGATAGGTACCAAGGATTATCTGGTGCTATTGGAAGAATTAGGGCATGGAGCTGGTGGAAAGGTCTACAAAGCGTTGTATATGCCAACATTTCGACTTGTCGCAGTGAAGGTTATCCGCGTTTACGACCAGCAAAAGCGACATCAAATGGTGCGTGAACTTAAGTCATTGTACGTTAATTTCGTTCCATTAGCCACAGCCACGTTTTCGTCAACTTCTGTGGAAACAAAACAAGCTGCATGCGAAGAACTGGTGGTGTTTTACGATGCGTACACAAATCCTGAAACTGGTTCAGTATCAATTGTTCTTGAGTATATGGATGGTGGATCATTAGAAGACTATTTGCAGTCTATCAATGAAGAAGTGCAAGGTAAAAGTGATGGTTTAAGTGAGAGAGAGATTGCGAATGTAGCAGCGCGTGGCTTAAAAGGACTAGCCTTTTTACACGAACATCATCAGTTACACCGTGACATCAAGCTAAGCAACATGCTGATCAATCATAAAGGACAAGTTAAGGTGAGTCAACGAAGTTGGTAGAGGAGTTTACAGTATTGACAAAGCGATGTTTTGTCTTTAGATTTCAGACTTCGGTATCTCTCGTGACCTTGAGAGCACTTTGGCGAAAGCAACAACATTCACGGGCACGTTATTGTAAGTTACTAAGTTCTCTACAATGCTACGGATGTATTCTAACTTTGTTGTCAGATACATGGCACCGGAGCGTATCAGTGGGGGAATGTATTCGTATCCATCTGATGTTTGGTCCTTTGGCCTCGCAATAATGGCATGTGCCGTCGGTAAACTCCCAGTAACCACTAAAGATGGTTACTGGGGTGTCGTTCATGCTGTTCAAGAACAGCCATCACCGCGACTTCAGGACTTTGGTGACCAATTTTCTTCAGAATTGTGTGACTTTTTGGACCAGTGTTTGCAAAAAAATCCAATGCTGCGACCTCCTGCTTCCCATCTACTTCAACATCCTTTCATATTAAAAAATTATACACCAACGAAGCAAGCAAACATTCAAGTGAGTCGAGAGCTGCATCCACCATCGTCAAAAGCAAACGAGTGTAGTCGCAATCAAGTGCGACTTATTGCTGAGAAAGTCAAAAGTTGGTGTCGTGACCACAGTGACGCCTTACGTAAAGCTGCATCTATCCATGACGCAATCGAAACACAAAATACGTCTTGTCTTAGCAGAATTGAAGCATTAGCTAGCCAATTGCGTTTATCAGTGGATGATGTGGCGCCTCACTTTGAATTTCTGGCTGAGTTCGAATGAAAATAATTGCAATATTTTTATTGTTCTTCTGTAAATACTAAAAAGATTATTGGTAATGATGTTGTGCCACTTTCCTGCTACATCACTATATCGTATCCTTTCCAGATTCGATGGCCCAATTTCTCGTCAAGCTTCTCTTGCTAACAACAGCCACGCTAACGCTCCATGTACTACCTTTTCAGGCTGCAGATACTTCTTGTTTACCATCTGATGTATTGTGGTTGTGGAGCGGTGCGCTGACTTCTCGTTCTATTACATTTAAATTTGGGTTACGCGAGGGTTACACTTGTGTCGATTCGGACTTTGTACTGTATGCGTTCCCAGAACTGCTGGAGGGTGAGAAACGTCATTCAGTCATTACAAATTGCTCGAGTGTGGACGGAGGAGAAACAGGAGATGGGGAAGTGAGAAGTCTTTCATCTTATGACGCCCCTAACGTTAAGCAGTGTATCTTTTCCGATCTTCCACATAGTGACAGGAAATACCAATATGAGTTACGACTTCTGACAAACGATGAGATTGTGCGGAAAGGTAGTTTTACGACACCTCGAACGGAAGGGACTTCTTTTAACTATCGAGTAGTTTTTGGCTCTTGTGCTGACGAGAATTCCGATCCAGAAGTAAGAAACCATGACTGTATTTGTAAATTTGAACCTCAAATCGAAACATGTCTTCATTTGTAGATCTTTCACGAGATCAAGAACAAAAATCCATTTTTGTTTCTGCATATCGGAGATTTGCATTATCACAATATAAAGGTCAACGCTGTCGCGGCATTTCGAAACAGCTACAACTCGATCTTTGCATCACCAGCCGGTCAAGCGATGTTGGCAATGGATGTTCCGTTTGTATACATGTGGGACGACCATGATTTCGGTCCGGATAATAGCGACTCAACTGCTCCAGGACGGAATGCTTCGGTCCAAGCGTATCATGAAATGGTACCCCATTATCCATTCGGTGGAGGACGTTCTCGCTCAAATACTGTTCATCAAGCTTTTACAATTGGCCGAGTTCGGTACCTGTTAACCGATTTACGCTCAGGTCGAACTCCAAATACTGCTCCCGCTGCACCGACAAAGACGGTTCTTGGTAAAAAGCAAAAAAATTGGTTCAAGAATGAGCTTCTTCAAGCGACAAATGACCCAACTATTCGACTTATTGTGTGGGTAAATACCATGCCTTGGCTAGATGATGAGCGCAAATGGGGTCATTTTGTGCATGAACAGCAAGAGCTTGTAAATTTTATCAAAGGACATGGGCTGAACAAATGGGTACCGATTGTTATAGTGAGTGGAGACGCGCACATGTTGGCGGTGGATGACGGAAGCAATAGTCCTGGCAATATGACGGTTCTTCATGCAGCTGCTTTGGGACGACCAGGCTCAATAAAAGGAGGACCGTATAGCCATGGGGCCTTTCCAGGATCGGGGCAATACGCAGTGCTGGACGTGACTGACGATGGAGAGAAGGAAGGTAGTGTCTGTCTTTACTACAGAGGAATGAATATTTACAAGGGACAGTTAATTGAGTTCGATACATGCCATCCCGAAAACACGCCACCAGTGACGCCGTATCATCCGCCGCCAATTCCTGTCCGTGTATTGCTGCGAATGTTTAAGAAGATCAAAAAATACAAAGTGACTGCAACAATCGTGGTGATGACTTTCTTTGCGATATTTGTCAAGAGGATTAGACGTTTTCAAGCTACTGAGTCGAAAAAACGCACTTGATAAATATAGTAGAATTAGGTTTATTGAGTTAGATTGTCGGTTTGATTCGGTATAAATATGAATCAACAAAGAGATGTCATTTGTGCTGGCTTTAGCTTCCCATCACATCAGAAAGGAAGTCAATGACACCGAGTAGATGCATTAATGGCTCAAAGCCAATGGCGAATTCCACATATTGAAGCTGACAGCTTGAAGCGAAACAATAGCAAATCATAGCATCGAATGAAAGGTGTACGTGTCGTTCCAATGGTAAAGCTTTGGTCACAAAACTTGTGTCTTTATCGTCCTCTTCATCATCTGATAATGTGGATGACGACGCAAGACTTAGTCGTCTTAAGCGTCGCTTAATGGACGATTCAGAAGGTAAGAGCGACAAACACGTGGCGTTGGAAGCAATAACGTACGATTTCTTTGACATTCGGTTTGTAGCAGACAAGTGAAAGGCAAAGATTTCGCGCTGTCCATCATATGGAATTTCGAGTGGTTCACTATCATCACTGCCTCGAGCTCTTCCACCAACGGACTCGGTTGCTACGCTAGATGTGACCGCTGACAGATTGTCTTGAGCATCTGTTGCTGGTATTTTTCCATACGAAAGAAACACACGCAGTGCATACGATGTCGTATTCAAGAAAACTCCTTCTCTTTGAACAGGTAATACATATTTCGCATCACCAACTTGCAAAAGTGCATCGAATGTCCAATCTAAAGGTCGATATTGAAGTGGATTGAACAGATATAATAAATACGTGTTGCTCACCAGAGCATTCACGCACAATTCGTCTCGTTGAAGTCGGTATCTCAATGTATTATCATCAATACTAATTGTCATTCCTGATAATTCGTGTAGCTTATACGACGCGTATGTAGTCATTTCATCAATATTATCTGGAGTTTCTTGGATTGTAGTTGGTGGTGCTAATGGACGATAAATCACACCATCAATAGATGCCCAAATCTGCATCATCATGATTGACGATTGCAAAAAGTCGACATCTTCTTTATGATGAAATTTGTGCGTAACTCTTAACAATGAATTTGTGTCGAGTAAAACAGGGGCTGGAAATATCTGAAATAGCTCGCTTTCAAAGTTTAGTGAACTTCGAAGCGCTGCAACTGATGCCATAAGACCAATATGTTCATTTAATAAACCTCTTGCTTCATCCACAGATACCATCCCAATAATTTCCGAAATTTCTTGAATTGATCGGTTTATTCTTAATGAAAGGTCAAACATTCGTTTGCAGCGATTGTAAACTACGGCTCGTTCTCGGGAACACATCAGAGGAGTGCCTTTCTCAATCGTAAAGAAACGAGTTTCACCACGATTATTCATCAGGTATACTCGAGCTGTTACATGTTTTACAGCTTTGCGTTGAAATTGAGAACGTAATAGAAAACAGCGTCGCCAGTGGCGCGTGGCAAATCGTAGCTCTCCAAAACTTGCAATAGTTCGAAGACGCCATTCGGGCTCACAGATACTAGACACATCTCGCGACACTTGAGATAGTTGCTGTAGTTCTGACAACGTGCAGAAGCTTAACATGAACGGCAGCGGCGTCAAAATACAAGCATCGCCCATATGATCAAAAGTTGCCAAAAAGTTCGATTTCACACAGCTTTGGCAATAATTGAAGTCTACATTTATGTATGACAAAACGTAACTAGTTTAAGAAATTAAGTATGTCGGACGCTGTCGTTGAGCGCTACTTTCGTGACACATCTCTTATCGTGTAATCGTGTTCCACAAGAAAATTTCAGATCTGATGTAATATTTTGTGATACCTTTTACAAAATTGCTTATCATCAAGACAAAATTATGGTAGTAGAAAGTTAATTGACAGTAAATAAGGATCTCAAAATACTGACAATAAGAGCTCATATCAAGAAAAATCGAACAAAGCTTCGGGTATAAATTCGAGCTCTGCATTTCTTCTTCAAACGCAAGATACAATTGCCATGTTTCTCGGTCTACTTCTAGCAGAAACATTCGCTGACCATTATGACACTAATCCGTCTCATTTGATTGAAGTGCGGTCACCTTCACTGTCTCCTCGTAGTTTCTGGACACTCCTTGGTATTATAATCGTCATTCTAATAGTATTCTCTCTATTGCTGGCCAATGTCGTGGCGTGGTGTCTACAACTACGTCGTGAGCGTCGGATTCAGTGTAAAACAGAGGAAATATCAGTGAAATCAATTGAAAAAAAGGCCCAACCCGTACCTGTAACCATTTTAACGGGCTTCTTAGGTGCTGGAAAGACGACACTACTCAATCGTATTTTACTGACTGAAGATCAGCTGACTTACAAAATTATGGTACTGGAAAACGAGCTGGGTGCCGTGAGTATTGATCATACGTTGCTGCAAGCTGGTGGAAAGGAGGAAGACGGGATATATGTGTTACAGAATGGTTGCATGTGCTGTACGGCTCGTGGTGGCAAAGGAAAAGGAGGCGACGAATTGGAAAGAATTTTAGACTATCTGTTACAACTTGTGGAAAAACAAAAATTTGACTATCTTGTAGTCGAAACATCGGGTCTTGCAGATCCAGGACCAATCATTGAGACATTTTTAAGACTTAGAGCGTCGAGATTCCGACTTGATGCTATTGTGACGATGGTGGACTCAAAGGCGACGCAGAGACACTGGAAACAATCGAAGGAAGAGTATGACTTTCCTATTGAATTACACCGGCAAATACTCTATGCTGACATTGTGGTGATGAACAAGTTGGATTTGGCTTCCGCGGAAGAGTGTAAGCGACTTGAAAAGGCTTTGAAAAAAATTAATGAAGAAGCCAGGGTGTGTAGCTGTGTTAACGCTGATATTGACCTAAATCGAATTCTGAATGTCAACACATTTGATGCTGTGCTTTTTAATGAACAAAATGATAGCATGATGCGTGAAAAGAAAAGTGTGAAGGCGCGTGGACAACACACGGGAGGCATAAACACAATGCATTTCGAGGTTGAAAGCGACGTGGATATTGCTGCATTTGGTGAGTGGCTTTCGCAAGTGGTTGCACAATATGTGAAAGGAGCAGATGTTCTACGCATCAAAGGAGTGCTATCGGTGGCCGGAGACGCTAAAGACCGCAAATGCGTGGTACAAGGAGTACTGGATACATACACAATTGCCCCTGGAATGCTTTGGGCTGATGGAGAACAGCGAGTTTCGCGACTTGTACTTATTGGCCAAGGATTTGATCGTTCTGAATTAGAGCGCGGCTTTCAGAATTGCCTCATGAACGATAACGAGCCAAAAAAGGAACGTTAAGCGCACGTCTTGAATTATGTAGCGCAAGCTTATGAGCGGGCATCGTTTTTTTAAAGTTAAATATGATACGTTGGGTAACTCAAGTTATTGTATGCATTATGTCATGGTGAGCCGCTCAAGAATGACAATATTGCGAACACGTAGCGCCCGCAAACCAATTATTGCATTATTGTTGACTCCAATAACCTAAAACAGAAGCAAAATGAAAGTTTTATTAGCGTATCACATTTGTTGTAGAATCCAATGGACTACATGCATAACTTTGAAGTGAGATTGAGAAATACGTTGCCCTAATTTTTATACCTTTACATATGAAGCAAGCTTAATCCATATCGACGAACTAGCTCGTGTCATATTTTCTTGTAAGGTGAGGACTTGTGGTGCGACGCCGAGCAATAATGACCGCTACGACAAAAAGATCAGAACAAATGATACGTATTTTGTACGAATGAGCATCTCAGGAAAAAGTCGATAGAAATGTGGTTGCTCATTTTGCTACAAAAAGTTGTTTGTTTGCAAATGAAATATTATGTTGATATTTAGCAAAATCGCCACTATGCTCAGTTGAAAGTTGCTTTGTATTGTTTTATTACACGGCTATACCTACTCGACCCTGACTAAGATATTACATCGCTTCATTCCGCTAGGGTATTTTTTTTCTTGTACGAGTCGCCATGCCGAAGTCCTTATTGGCTGTTATCGGTAATATTTTGCATGCAGTCGACATTTCTTGCATGTTTGGTACGATTACGATTTTGTCCGCTGAGGGGCTCGAACCCGCGCCACACAACGTTAGGTCCAGAAGCATTGACCACTCCACCTACGCCACCGGGTCTTCGACACTATGCTCAGGTCTTTGCATTATAAAAACGACATATAAGCAAACTAGGTAGTTCGTTTGGAATTGGTGAGAAACCATCTCGAATGTAGTAGCCATCGAGGGAAAAGTCGTGAGTGAGCTGCGGCGAGCATGTTCTTGCCATTTTAACTTTACAGAAAATCACAAGATTGATAGAAGGTCTGACGGGCGATTTTTACCCAAATAATAACCAGAACACAACACATTAAACTCCATGTTTAGGCGAGACAAACTACTTGTGTTGGATGCCAATGTCTTTTATGCACACCAACAATGTGATATACGGCTGTGGTAGATGATGACAATATTTAGAAGCCACGCGGACGTAACAGTATCACGGCATCAGCATTGGTGCGAATCCGAATAGCTGCCGCAGAGGAAAGCCCGCTTAATTTGTTGAGCAAGAAGCCAGAAGCAAAAAGTAACAACTCTTCCCGTGCTGTCTCCAAGAGCCGCCTGAGATTCTTTCTTGGCCGCGCAAAATACCGATGCTTCACCTTCATTCTCATCCTTCCAGTGTCAAAGATAATGTACCGGTCGGGATCTCAAGACAAAGCGACGTCTTTCTCCATTGTGCCTTGTACAAAGCGCAGCTGTTTAATTTTAGCCGTCAGTGATACCAGAGTAACGGCGCGTCCTTGCAAATTCGCGACACCGTAATTAATTTGCGAGAAAACATCGTTGATATTTGCTAGCAATTTCCAACATTTCAATCACAAGGTATCAAAGCAGGTTGCTTCCTTCATGGCGAAGATGTTTGAAGTGGTCAGGTATATCTTAGCGATGTTCCAGCAACCACCGACTGACGAGGTTCATAAAAACCAAGCTTGTAATTAGTCACAAAATCAATTTTGTTGCCTTGAATGGCCGAATAATGGTGATGACTATGTGCAGTTTGTTGGGTGTTGAGTGCGTTAAATGCTGTCAGTGCAACGGTATCAATATGATGTAACAAGCACTAAACACGGATAAAGTATCCTTCGGTTACAGAATCTTGAATACGCAAATCAACGCTGGCATATTCGCCGCTCCATTTGTTAAGCATCCGATCAGCTTAGAGCAAAATGCACTAAGAACTTCTTGAACATTTTGTACATGTGTGGCTTCCTTCAAATGGGAATACGATATATGAATGTGTGTATGCTGGAAGAATCGGGTCTCAACCATCAATGACAACAGAAAATGCCCAGATATCTTTAAGAATCTCCGTGGTATTGTGGAAGGACAATTCATGCAAACAATTAGCTGCAAATAGCTCGTTTTCGTCTTCTCCACCTAGCAGCAGATTGATAACTCGACGATATCTTTGTAACTGTATGTAATGCCTATAGTTGTGGCTCCACATTTATCATGCGGTATGCTAGCTAGTATACTAAAGACTGTGACCATTCGGGCGATATTCCTGATGTTTGGTGAGGTGGTGGTGCTAGTGAAATTTTCGTGTCTGCATGGTTGTTTCTTACAGGGATGTGCTTGCATTGTCTAATAGTACTCTCAACCGAAAATAGCACAGAATTGAAACCTGACAGCTACAACGTCTTCTGATATCGGGTAATACAGATTTTAGGATTTTGTACTGTGATCTTAGCAGAGTCGACAAATGGACGTAGAAATATGCAGTAATACATTGTTTTATGTTGGTTATGCCGGATACAATGGATGGCTTGCCCGCGACATCGTCAGAAAAAAGACGGAGACACCATTGGTAGCAGTCAATTGGTGATGCCATCTGATAGGCACTTAGATTCAATACAGAATATCATAACGACCACCATCACCGTAGACTTATACACCTCTTCAACATAGATCCCATGGTCAATTTTTAGTTACATTTGGGAGCCGCAACTTCTGATCTATCTAGTGCCGCAAAGAAATTCTTATCATGTCGTCTATTCTCGACTGATAACTAACACAGCCGAGAACGGTTAAAGAAGTGGATAGGTGTATTGAGTAGATGACTTGGTTAGTTTTTGTACTGTTTTTAATTAAATCTCTTTAGTGACTGGACAAAAGTTAGGATACATCCTATAGTTTGAAATATTCTGTAAAGCGCAAAATTGTATAAAACACATTGCACTTTCGTGTAATCATGAACTTTATAAGTACTACAGTACCGCATGATTGTGGTGACAGCTAAAGCTCAAGTCGATGGATTCTACAAAAGAAATGGAAAAGTATTAGCCTAAATATACTAACCCAGAAATCGTGCCACTCTACGATGGCAGAGCAAAGTAGATACTCATTTTCTTTCTAGGCTCTAAGCTTGATTCTTGGACGGAGTATGTAAAACTAGCCTCTGCGGGTTGTATACACAAACAATTTGAGTCGAAGATTCCACTGTGTAGAGCGCATCGCAATTAGTAGCACTGGTAGTCGATCCCACGATAAAAACTCGACTCTCTGTGAAAATGGAGATGAGGTCTTGGCATACCTGTTGATGGACGACTTGGAAAGCTTGGTTAGCTTGCATCGATTGTCGGCTCCAAAGAGGTCTGGAAGAGTAAGCACAGTGGTCAGATGTGGTGGTCGCGTGCCTGGATGCATTCTCCAGCTATAAAAATGCGTCAGCGAGATATCTCCAGAGGGCTACAGCTTGAAGTTGTCGAGATCCAAGATGACACCTACCGCATTGCTTCTGATATTGAGCTCCAGTCTCTTAGAAAGGGACATTGAACATCTTTTTTTAAAGGAAGTTGGGATGGCCATAAACTTGTCCATGCTCCAGACGAAGCAACAGCACGTCGCACATGTAGTCATCAAGGTAGAGGGCAATGGACACTCATGTGCAATACCTTTATGTAAGACGTATTCCTGAAGGAAACTTTGAAGTGACATAAGTCGCAGATGTTGTTGCAGCCTCACCCATCGAGTCCGATCAGAATTCTTGTCCGCCCGTCATTGATGGTGGAAACAGGCAAAATATGGCCAGATTAAGAGCTTTTATCCCCGTAATGGCGGTAGACGTTCTCTCTGAGGCGGTTTCGTTAACAATTTCCAGGTGGCTATTTTAACGGGTTCAGCTCAAGCCCAAAATTTCCCCCTCCATCTGTTATCAGACCTGGAAGAGGTGTAAATATAAATGCAAAGTGCAATTATGTATTGCGGTCAGGATGAGGTTCATCCGGACGATCCAACAAGAAATTTTGGGACGTCTCATCTGTCAATTTCAGCTGTGCAACATCATTCAGTAACATCCATTCAAACTTTAAGTTGCAGTAGCTCATGTCAAACCTCTCTAATACTCGAAATGACTTGAACTGTTTTAAAATACACAACCGTAGCGCTGGTGATATCTACTTTTACGCAAGAAAAGAATAATTTGGCTGGCCACCAGCTCCGTAGAGCTTGCAGAGGTTTCATCCTTAGTAGGACACAACATTCGCAATTTGCAACTCCCTAGTCTTTGGCTGAGAGGTAAGAAGATTCGGTGTAACGGGGTCACACATACATTTGTATGGCATGGCTGGTCACACAAGATGATTTGACCGCACATTGGTGTGGATTACACAAGTCGGTGTAATCACACAATAAAGTGGCTACACCGTAACAAGTAGCTGCTACGTTGCAGATTGCCGGTAGTAATGCATATTAATTAGGTTTACGATATCAAACAGATATTATTATATTCATCAGGAAAAGCTAAAGTTTTAAATATCGGCGGCTATGCCGCAACTAAAACAATCAAGTACAGTTCTGATCTTGAAAAGAAAAGTCATTTACCTTGGTCAAGGTTTGCAGTGCTCTTGGAGGTAGCATATTGCGACCCGCTGCAGTCGTACTGGTTCTTGTAAAAACCGAAAGATTGGAGACCTTAGCTTAACTTTCTCTAAGCAGAGAGCTACGACAGCCCCGCTGCACTCGTACTGGTTCTTGTAAAAACCGTAAGATTGGAGACCTTAGCTTAACTTTCTCTAAGCAAAGAGCTACGACAGCCCCGCTGCACTTAGGTGCACTCGCTGTCAATCTACTCCTGAGTCGTTACGACTGATCCTCTGTGAGGATAAAGGAATACTCCTATTTGCCCCAGGGCATGCAGGACGGGCTTAAAAATCTGATGTCTCTGTTTGGCCCTGAGAGAGACGAAGATGGCTATGGCATCTGCCATGCTCCAGAACGAGAAACAGCGCGTGGCGCTAGCTATCTCCAAGCTCGGGGGCCGAGCGCGAGAATGGGCACTAACCTGCGGTGCTTTGGTGGACGCTGCGTTCCCGTCCTGGAAGGAGCTGAAGATGATGCTATTGCGAGTGTTCTCGCCGCCTAATCAGGTATATCGCGTGCAATTGCGTTATCTAGCCGCCCGACAGGGCAAGAAAAAGCTGGTGGGCTTTGTCCAAGCGTTGAGAGCTCTCATTGCCGCGATGGCAGCCGAATCACTCCCGAGGTGGTCGCATTGATCTTTATGGAAAGCCTCCGCACTGGCGTGGCCAGAATAGAAGTCATCCGTGTGCATCCGTCTTTTTTTGAAGAAGCGGTGAGCGGGACAGTTAATGCCAAAATCAGCTTTAAGTTGGCACGACTTGGTTGGAATACACATCGTCGAGTGGGCCTGAGCCAATGGATCTCAGCTATGCTGAGAAAGAGGAGGGAGTGCTCCGAGCTGCCGAGCAGCGTTTAAACACCCGACGGTTATTTGTTTGTGGAGACACCCGTTACCTTCGGACTGGTTGTTCCCTGTTCAAGGCGCGTAAAGATTCGTCGAACCGACGTGCCGCTTCTAACCATTCTGGTAAGTCGTGGGGAAACCAGACGACCCAGTAGGCGCTGGGCGCCCTAACTGAGTTCCGTTGAGCCTCAAAGGGATAGAGGGCAGTGTGGTACATCCCCGAAGAACTCCGTGCACTTTAACACGGAAAGCGTATGCAAGCCGGGCGGGCATGCAGGTCGTAAAAGCGACTATAAAGGACTTTGAAGCGCCAATACAGAGCTTTACTGATTTCGTAGTATCGGGCAGTTATGCTTCACGCTCCATGATCAAGGAAGGTCAGATGTATGCTGAGGTGCTGAAAGCGCGGTTGAGTGACACTGTCACTGTTTGTTTAGCGACAGGAACTTGTCTCGCTGTGCCAGCGGTCTCTGTGGACCTCGATGTCAAGTTTCTATACATCGATAGCGTGGAAGGCTGCTTAGTCTAAGTTTTGGATGCAATGTATGGCACGGTCGGAACACTATGAGCAATTGATTGATCGGAGTACGAAGACCTTGAGTGCTATGCGCACGTCTCCTGGTGGAGCATTGGTGAATCATGAAGCCACCTCTGCTAGGAAGCAGAGAATAAACTGTAAGGTAATGCCGATAAGTGCATTTTCGGCGCGAGAAAATTCGTTTTAGACTGGTTCATAGGGAAGCGTGGCCTTCGAGCGGATCCAAGGCCATTGTGGACTGGCCGGGTCCAAAGAACTAAAAAGACTTGCGTAAATGGTTTGACCTCGCCAACTACTTGCACAAGTATAGCGCAAATTATGCGGATATGGCAAGGCCATTGTCGAATCTCCTAAAGAAGATGCAGAACGGTGTTGGAACACCGAGCATCGGAAAGATTTTGACAGGGTCAAAGACAGCCTCCTTCATGCACCAATACTGACGTTGCCAGACTCCGATCGTCCTTTTAGTGGCAGTTGTGACGCTTCGGACTTTGCCATTGGCTGTGTACAGCTGCAAGCAGACGCCGAGGAGCGAGATCGGGTGATCGCATTCGCATCTCGCCAGCTCAAGGTTGCGGAGAGGAATTGCCCAGTCCACGACAATAAATTACTTGCGATGAAGTATGTACTTGTCAAGTTCAGGATGCGACTGCTTGGCTCAAAGCCATTTGTGATCTACACGAATCATGCGTCATTACGCACGGCGACTCAGTCGCCTCACCCTTCGCAGAGGATGGCCAGGTGGCTCTCATTCTTTGTCATATATAACTTTGAGGTGTTTTATAAGCCCGGAAAGCAGAATGCTTTGGCTGATGCGTTGTCACGCAGACCGGGTTATGAGCTTGCGCATGTCACGACGGTGACGTCGTCAAGGACGAATTTGATCCGCGCTGCATACGAGGGTGACAGTATGTGTGTAGCGTTGCTACAGGCACTCAGAAACAAGAGATTCTTGGTAGAAGCCGGACGGCCATAAGCTCAGCTCAAGCTATGCCCTGTGCTGCTGTGGTCGTAGACTAACCCCTGTGAGAGACCACAGAGTTTGCGGGAGCGTGACAAATTGTTACATATGTCGAGGGCGACAATATGCAGGAGGTTTGGCGTCGCGCCTTGAGTTTGGCCAACTCAATTTTAAGAGGGCGCTATTCGCGCATGTCCACTTCTTTGTGGCTTCGCTGTAAGTTAGACTGCGAAGGAACGTTTCCAGTGCCGCTGCATCCATCGCTCAGAGAGCTCCTCATCATCTGCAGCGGTTTCGCCATTAGCGAGCGTCACAGGAATGGTCCGCTTTGCGGGTACAGGAGCACCTCCTTTTTGAGCTCGAAGGCGAGCGTAATGTTGATCCATTGAGAATTTTGAGAGACCAAATAGCGAACTCGGAGCGCATTTCGTTGGTCAAGATCAGCTTGTTTAGTGTCCGGGGGTCCAATCACGTAGCCGCCCAACGATTAAGTGATCGTGTTCCTCGCTTCTGCAGTGGAATCCGCCGAGCGGTGGCAGCATTCCACACGAGGTGATTTGGAATGATACCACTTCTCCCGAAAGTCAAGAGATCGGGAAGCAGACACGGTGTTTGCAAGGTTTGGGCTCAAACCGCGGCGCTGGTACACCTCGCCCTCTTATTCTTCCCATCCTGAGCTTGAAGTATTCGACTCGTAGTCGACTTCCTCTAGATCCTCGACGAATTAAACCATCGCCCAGGGTGGGCGCGGCGTGCGGTCGGGAGTAGACATTGCGTCTGCGTCCTTGGTCGTGCGACCCTGTCGCTGACAATGCGCGGCGCGATGCTCAGTAATTGAGAACATGAGCTGCGCTTTTCTTGAAACCTCGGACGAACTGTTTGGAATTGCACCGCGTGCAGGAGACAAAGAAGGGCTCTGCCCGCGGGCGTTCTCGGAACCACTGAGGCTGGGTGTATTCCGCGTCCTCGGCACAGGGCTTATTGAGCAGAGAGTTTGTGATGAATTTACTGGTAATATTGAGGTGTCTTAGACACCCGAGCGTCGTTCAAGGCGACAGTTGAACGTGACTGCACGTGTTCACAATCTTGAATGGGGAGAGTGTAATGGTGTTTCACGTACCCTGGTATGAAGGGTGTGGCTCACACAAGAAGATGTGGTCACACAATGGTGTGAACTATACAAGATGATGTGACCACACAATTGTGTAGCTTAACTTTAAAGGACAAGTAGATATACATACAATTAGATTTTTATAATCTTGCTCGGATTAATCTGTCAATGGAACAATGGCAGAAAATTCAGCGCGAGGGGTGGGATAGCTTTCTCTATAAATTAACAAGAACCTATACGGTGTTGCTCAGGTTAGTGTACAAAATATGACGGCGAAAAATTAAAAAAAAACGATCGCATCGAAAAATCTAGGGGAGTCTACAAGAATTTGCTGTTTCATATGAAACGATGGGTCTAGATCTGAAATGATTTTCTAAGAGTCGCATCAAATCATCCAATGCACCACCTCGTGACTCCATTTTGGCCTGTGATCGCATTTATGGAAAGTATTAATATTGTTCTAACGCCACATTACGCCGAGTTAGAGTTTTCATCCTTGATTGAGATAGAATTTATATGCTATCAAAATTCACGACGCGATGACAGGAGGCCAACCACGCATGTCGCTCCATAATAGATGAGAGCGTCATATCATACAGCTGGTTGTAAGAACCATTTAATGATTTCCACAACAGTGACTCATTTCACAAGAACAGTGTGAAGTTTCTTCTGTACGAAGCACGAGGCGGTTTTGGTGAGAAAATGGATGATTTGGAGGGGCTAGTAATGCCACAAACACTATCGAGTACACCAGCGACGGTCATCCGGCTGGTGTTGCCGCTATTCATGTCCAGAATCGTGCCGATCTTGCGGCTTCTGCTGGGAAAGGCCGCATAATCGTGCAGAGAAACTCTGATGTGGAGAAATACATGATGTAAAGGCGAGCAGCGTTCGATCGTCTGCGTTTGTATTAAGCTTATCACTTATACAGCTAAGTGTGTTGAATATGGTTTGCGTAGCTCCGATGTGGGCTTTATAGCTGCGGCACCAGACTATGAGGCGTCACTAATGCTCTTGCCAGTCCTCGTGACATGACCATCCCTTCTAGAGCATTCTGCGTGAGAATCTCTCCGTCCTAGTACATAGCGCTTTAATAGTGTTCTCAATGGCAGACTTATTTCTTATGATTGACGAGCTCATCTCCTCCTCCGGTACCTGTCGTAACATTTTTGATGACATCAGCGTCTTGAAACTACTTGTCTATATCGCCGAAAAATAATTTCTTCAGCACCAAGCTGGGTTTTACAGAAGAAAGTAAGGAGAGATCTACAGTCCCCAAAGCTATACCGATCAGAAAACTTACGCTGATCCTCATCGACACTCACCCATTGTATTTCACTAACCCGCATGGTAAGAACGTCACACGGTAGTGCTAGCTCAGCTAAACCATCAGAAGGATGAGCCAACACCCCCCTAAACGCTAAGTCCCTATTTTGCTTCTGGCGACTCCTAGTTGCACTTCGACACCAAAGGCTCTGACATGGGAGACTGTGATATCCAGTCGCCTCTACTCTCCCTCGGTCTTGACATAAGGGACACTAGCTTACAGCTGTCCTTTTCTGACCCATCAGAGATAAACTGTAGGGATGAAGGCATTCAGTCGATACTTGGCGTATTATCCCGTAAACGCGGCTTTCAAATACTTCTGCTTACTGAGCTCTACTAGAGGAACCTATCGATATCATTGCCATCCATTTAAGATCACCCCATGTTCTGCACTGAAACCATCACAGCGTTGTGTTCACGCCAAAGCGCTTTTGCTTCCGATAGAGGCAGCTTCGTGACTCGACACATTTCCACATAGCTTACAGCTGATCTTTCTGTCCCATCAAAGATAAATTGTGGTAGTCATGTCATTCAGTCGATTTTTGCGGCCTCATCATTGACCGTGGCTAGCTGCCACTTCTGCTCACTGAGCTCTACTCGACATTTCGCAAAAGCATTGCTATCCGTTTCAGACAATCCCGTGACCTGCACCAAAACTTTCATAGCGTCGTGCTTGCGCCAAAACGTTTTGCTTCGGGGTAGTGGTAGGATGATGACTCACCACGCTTTCAAAGGGAAAGAAGTGCGTGGAATCGACATTTTTCGATTTCCGTCGACTCATGATACATGGCGTTCTAGCCGCGCCATACCCAGGATGAGATAGTATCTCGAATCAATGTCCACGACTAGACGACGTCACGCTGTCAGTGTCATCGAACTTGACTTTGAGGGTTTACCACAACAGCCGACACGTATACCAGTGTAACCGACACAAGAAGCATCCGCATTCTGCAGGTCTTCGCGTACGGTCAGCTGTTTCGACAGTCGCCCATCATCAGGGCTACAAATCCGAAACGTTTATCTAGCCATGAACTATAAGACTAACTTCACGACAAAGTAACTTCATCCAAAGCAGGATTCTCTTATTAGAAGCTCTACGATGCCCAATAGAGCCCAGTTCTTTCCAAGTAGGCCGCTCTTCTCCTACCGGTCTGGACGTAGCCAGGAAGGGGTCCGTCGAATCTTCTTGCGTGGGGACTGAACCCTTTATCCGAGATCGAGTGGGTATATAATGCGCAGTTGTCTAGTATCTCCACAGAAAAAACTTATACGAGTACCGTGATGCAACTCACCAGGTAAGAAACCTCTCTGGATCCTCGACATCACTGATGTTCATCGCTTCTGGCACATTCGAAAAGCTTCTTTTCTGTCGGATTCTCGCTATGGAGGGAGTGATTTTGCCTTCAGCGCTACACCCTCTACATTCTCAAAGAAGAAGTGTGGACGCGGAAGCTATTGGTGCGAGCACCACCATTCAGATATTCGGATTCGTGAAGATGATTACCATCATCGCCTCCAGAAGAGGATCTGACATCATTGTGGTGATAGAAGCTCATCGATTAGGACATTGTACGCTAAGCTGCACCTATATTGACGGGTATACAAAAACCTTCAAACGCATCCAAATAAGTTCTGCCGTAGAAACACCCGCGACAATCGCTTTCACTTGATAAGAATGTCTTTTTTCCCGAGACATTGCACTTTTGTTCCGTTTCACGTGCGCAGCTTTCGAGGTTGATGACTGCAAGCGCGGAACGCTGATACTCCCCTTAAAGCACGGTCATATATATAGCCCTCTCAATTTTTCTCGGCCAGAGGTAGATAGATTCCTCGCCCCAACCCTCAAAGAACTGGATGCTTGACATTAGTGTTCGCACGGTGTGTGTCATCAATTCTCCCACCAATGCCTAGTTGGGAGACTCGTGAAGGTGTCTTACCCGAGCAAGCGTTTTGTAATAGCTGGTGTACGCTTCAGGCAAGCGAAATCACACGTGGCCTTTGGTCGCCAACTTTCTACTTGGTTGGGATTAACGATAGATATAAGCTGCTTAGCTGGTATACTTGTCCCCTTCCAAATATTCAAACGATCATGTGTCATTAGTACAGAAGATGTAGTCCTCAACGACCAGTTTGTGGCAGTGGTTCAAGTACAACGGAGTTGCCATGAATCTCTACAGAGAAAACTTTGATGCAAAGTTTCCGCATTTAAAAATGAGTTTTGTATGCTCCAACTAAGATTCAAAATGAGGCCCTTTAACGTAACCAACCAGTTAGTTTGCTGCTTAAATTTCAAATCTTTAATTGTAGAGACTTTACTTTTTCTAATTCTTAACGTGCGGTTAACCTCCTCAAATACCGATACGTCCCTACTCCAAGAAACCGGTAAGAGTGATGGTATTTGAAAAGGTCTCAGTAAATAGTCGTGATAAAAGACACAACTAAAACCGGTTTTGCTCTCTGTCTCAAAATATTTTCTGCAAGAGATAACTGCTCATTTTGAAAATTAACTACTGCATTGCAAACCATGCAAAATGATTTTGTATTGCATTAATGTGCAACCAAGAATAAATGTAGTATAACCTTTATGAATATAACCGTCTAGCATCAAAAATTCAATATTTATACCACTTATTTACACTTATGGACAGATTCAATTATCATGTTCGAAGCTGGAGATTAGGTTGGCCGAATAAATCGTTCATCTCTCACCATCGTCAGATTCACCATTCTTGTCTCGTTTCTTACCTGATTTCTTCTCACGAAGAAGAAAGTCACCATGTATTAAGCCAATATGCTCTCCTTCGCCATCATCTTGCAAATTGAGCGAGTTATCCTGAGCTGGATCAATAATTTCACTCTTGAATATATTGTCGCCCCTGTCAATTTCGTATATGGAAATCCAGCGCGATGCAATTCCACCAGTACACATAATTACGGTCGTAACCAACAGCAAAGCCATTAGGTGCGGAGGAGGACCCATCAAAAAGCCGTTTACGAATTGCGATGTGATAGCAGCGACACGATTTGAGCAATTCACTACCGCAATTCCTGTCGTTCGAAATTCTTGCGGAAAAGACTCAGCCGAAAGAACTCCAAACTATAGCAAATGACAGCAGTACATTGATAAATACAAAGACTCAATTTGCGAGAAGAATACAAGAAACGCACTCCATTCCATGCTGCAGTAGTGCACGCACTGAAAAGACACGAGACTAGAACGATAATAGTCTTCGAGCCTTCTATATTGAATGCAAATAGAAGCGCGCAGAGTGCTGACATGAAAAGTGCGCCGGAGAACAAGCGTTGATGGCCTATTATATCGATCAAATAGAGACTATAGCATTTGTCAGAATTAGCAAAACATGTCATCATAAGAGACCTACTGCACGATCAAAGAGGATGGTCGCACCTGACAACGTTACCTGGTAAATTAGCTCCAGCAAATAAGAAAGCATTTTCAAACGGGTTTTTTAAACCAGCACTTTGAAACAGCTTCGTGATCCAAGTAGAGAGACCATACGATCCAAAACTTAGCGAGAAACCACACAACATCAACAGTAACGTTGATGCTGCATTTGATCGATCAAATAAACCAGCTACAATTTGCAGACTTTTATTACTACAAATTGCATCGTGCAAGTTTGTAATGTCGCCGGAATCGCGTTTTTTGTTGTCGACACTATCACCTTCATTAAAAAATTGAATCTGAATCTGACGACCGCTTTGATGAATTTTATGAATATATTGAAGCACCGCTGTAACCCCTTGAGCGTCACCTTTACTTGCCAAAAAGTGTGGACTCTCAGGAATGTATTGCGTTGTCAGTATTAGACAGGTAAAAGACGGTAGACCGACAATTCCAGCAAACCAACGCCACGATAGATGGAGAATCCGTTCTCCATTATTGTACTTGCCTAACATTATCCACGCTGTCCCTGCTGTTACTACTGCTCCGATCATCCAAAATGAGCACAGAATTGTGACATATCGACCACGAGCCGACACCGGGACATGTTCCAGACACAACGCAAATAATGTAGCTACTACCCCACCGACGCCCAGACCAGCGAGGGCCCGAAAGAATATCAGCCAGTAGATATTTGGCGAAAAAGCCGAAAAAAACGCAGCAAGCGCGTTTATAGCCAACGTTACGAGTAAAACTGGTTTTCGACCATAAATATCACCAGCCACTCCCCCGATCATGCCTCCAGCCAGCATTCCAGCAAATACAGCCGCCGTCAAAAGACCTAATATAAATTAATACAAACTTTGCATCTTATTGTAATAAAACACTTACTAGATTCCCATGGTGTCATTATGCCTTCCGAGTCTTCATAAACAGTTAAAATGTACCCAATAGCCAAAATCTCGACTGCATCGGCTACATTTCCTAGACCTAAGACACTACATAAAATATTGATTTGACATGAAGCGTTAAAGGAATAAAACTCAAAAGATTTCGTACGTAACAACGCGAAGCTGATGCAAGCCGCAGCCAATTAGTTCCATTTCATCGTGCACCACTTGTTTTAGTGCCTTGACATCATCTACAAGTACGACGTTTTCATTTGGTAATTCCCACGAGATCGTCGGTGCTGTAGTCATGCGGCCGCCCATTATTGTCAGATTCAAAAGAAAAAGGTATTTCTCATAGAAAGGGACCTAAATCAGACATATAAATTAGAGCCATAAAAGTTTGATACGTCGCGGTGACTAGATAAGATGCACGCGTGGCGATCGCTGTCCCGCAGCATTCTTGTGTTCACAAATGTATTATTTCTACTGTTAGGATCTGTGCTCGTCTCGATTGGAGGTATAGCTAATATCATTGATGCAAAACTATTATAACATTCAAGTTCTTATGGTGATATTGTAGGCTATATGGCGTCGCTGCCGGCGCTCGCAGAATTTTCAGATGGTGGTGTGGCTTCCTCCGTTATCATGTGTGGCTCTCTAGTTATCCTCATTGCTATACTTGGCTGCTGTGGAGCACAATGGGAGAGTAAAGTCTTTTTGTTCCCATACGCTATTCTAGTACTCGTCTCGGTGATTGCCCAGCTATCGTTGGCTGGTTTTCTAACTCATGTTCACAGCTCATTGGAAGAAGTGGCTAAGCATGATTTTGACCTATCAGTACTTTCTCCTGCAGACCAGGAAACGCTACGCTGGATCAACAGGAGGTTCAAGTACGTGTATTATGGCTGTGGATTTGACGTCGAGATCGACTTGACGGGTACACGCAATCAGCCACTTCTGGCTACATGTTCAAATCAAGAATTTGAATGGTTTGCACGATTTGTGGAGGAAAATTGTCCAATTCGGCACGAACAATTACAAACCGGAAGTATTTTTCTGAAATGTGCTGGTCCGAGCTTTTCATTGAGCAATGCTATGACAGAGCATACGATGCTTTGTGCGTGTGAGACGCGTATGATCTCGTGGGTGAATGACCAATCGCTTCTTGTTGCTGTCTTTGTATTTGTTATTGTGTCGCTTGAGATAATGCTCGTTGGGCTATCTTGCTACGTCATGCACTCGCGTCGCAATCGTCGTTATGGATATCAGGAGATTACAATGCCTGTACGACAGCAGCCGTACAATCCGCACCCACGAAATTATTCTGGTCAGCAAGTGGGCCAGCGTCAGCCACTTAATTCGCAACCAGCGTATAAGTCATACGGTCCATCTGGGGTACAAAATCCCTATGCGGCTGCTGCCACAGGCGGTAAGATCAAGAACTAACGAAAGAACTTTGACTGTTTGGCTCTCGCGCAATTATGATCCAATTGCGTTGATAAAGGTGTTGTTTCTACTGTCTTGGCATTTTGTAGCAGATATGCTTTCTCAATTACATATCGTTATCAACTTGAGCATATAAACGTAACAAGTTACATTTGAGCTAAAAAAAATTAATTTCTGGATTTGTGACATAGAAAATATTCGATTTATGTATCAAACGAAAAAAAGAATGACTTTGTGTCAAGTTCTTAATTAGCTCAAATGACATTATTAAGGTACGACATATCCAGGTCTGTTCGTCATCCCTATGCTCATGAAACATGGACGGCGATCCAATTGGCGTTATTTTCTTCCAGGTAAGTTTAAGCATGTATTAGAGCAATACATTACCGAAAAACAAATGCCATTTCTTCGAAAGGTACTGGAAACGCACAAAAGGAAAGGAAGAAAAGTTTTCAAATTGAAAAGCTTCTCATTTTATCTTGTTTGCCATGAATTTAAGCGAAATTCCATTCGACGTACCTGTAATCATTCATTCGACACAGTAGAGAAAAAACTTGCAGAATCCACTTGGTACCAAGGAAGCTCGCTGCGTATTCGACAATCGTGATATTTACGAGCAGCTTACTCTACGACGTGTCCATGACGGAAAGGTTGCCATTCAATCGAATCACAACGGACGATACTTGCACGTTTCCACAAATGGAGATTGTCGTTTTGACAAAAAAGACCCTGGCGAAAAGGAGCTTTTTATGATGGAGACGGACGCAGACTGTGTTCTGTACTTCGTGTCGTGTCACACGGGGAATATTCTTCAATGCGATAGCAACAAACATGTCAGGTGCGAGAACAACAAGCGTCTAATTGGCCACGCCTGGAATATTATTGAGCCACGCTCAAATGCTGCTACCACGCAAGTTCAGCGAGGTATAATGCGGAGAAAAATTACATGGGATTGAAGGTTTTGTGGGCAGGATGTTTGATGCTCCAGACGAAACGTTTTAGTGACAAGGCATGATTATTTGAAAATCAAAAGATTCGTTTTCATACATTCAATATTCTCACTGCTCTGTTGTACGTTTTATTGAGACAAGCTTAGATTTATCGGAAAAATGCCCATGCGATTTGTTTGCTGATAGTTGTCCTCTGATTTGTATTCGTTCATATGTTCAAATGTAAGGTTGAGCTCGGGAAATACCAAGGAAGCGAGCATTGCCAACTGGTTCCACATGGTGCTTCCTAAATTGACTTTATGGTTAGCTTAGTACTATTTTGAGTGGTGGAAATGAACAAACTGTCATAAATTAACCGAAAACAGATTCTTTAATCGGTGCAATACAAACTTTCCCGAATTTTGGTATAGCGATGTTTGAGAGCTATCAACCATAAATTTATACGGTGTCGATGTCTCAGGCATCATGGTGATAACGTCAGTGAAGTATATCCTCTCATATGGAGAAAATTAGAGGCAAAACAATATTTAATTTACTTGAAGTTTTATTTATACCTGACAACATTCCAGTACCTGAACCTTGTCATTCATAAAAACTTCATTCTTGATAGCTACAATAGACGTGAGTTGTCTCCGATCGGCCTCTTTCCATAAAGTATAATTTTGAGCTGCAGTATTCTGTATAGCGCTAAACTCTGGTGCGAAAATCACTTGAGCAACTGTATCGTAAAAAGGTAGAACTATAAACTCAAAAAATCCAACTTGATTCTGATCAGAAGAAAGAAAGCAAACATAAGAGTGACAGTTTTCGAGAACTTCAAATCATCAAAACTATACCTTTGCACTGTTTTCCGAATTTCGATCCATAAATGGCGAGATATCCGATTGGATTGCACGCTCATTGTCGCCCTGTAAAAAAAACTCTTCAATAATAAGCGCTGACCAGACAACGTGCAGCTTGCGCATCTTAGCAGCGTGACCAATGTCAGCGCACTTGATGACAACTTTCATTATTATCATCGGATCTGTCACGAATTTTGGAGCGGATACAAGACCCCCCAAAGCTGCCCCACTATTTGTGGTATTTCCTGAAATTGCAGTAGCTTCTTGTAGCAACAAAGCTTTAAGATTTCCTACTAGTTGTAGATGCATGGATAAGTCAGTGCTTAGCACCATCTCTATGATCGCCTTGCGTATTTCTCGGTACGGTTTATCCTTCAAACGGCCAAATATATCGCAGAGCGGGTTGCGCATAATAAAGAACGTTTCTGCAAGGTGCATACTCTCGAGAATACTGCGGTCATTGTATTGCAGAGCCAAATCATGTTTTGCTTTAATCAAGTAATTATTGGACTTTCCCGGGTGACGAAAATCGTGAATCGCAGCAGCTACAAGTGCTGCGTAAAACTCGAGATTTGTCAATGTATCTCGAATTTGTCCATCTGCTAATGTTGTGATGAGAAAATTCACCGAGTTCACAACGTCAGCAGCGTGACTGCTGTTGTGGTATGGATTGGCAAGATAGCCATCGTCTAGTATATATAAAAAATTTCGCAATACTATACGGTCAACCCGAAATTCTTCATGCAGTCCATGGAGCTCAAACAACGCTGCAGTCACATACATGAGTGGTCTATTGCCAGTTTGATCGGCAATTTGTAAAGTGTCCAGATCCCAACCATCTTGTTGAATGCATTGCTTCACTCGCGAAAGTGTTTGTTCTTCCCACGTTGGCATGTCTGGTAATGGGGCTATGACCGTCAGGCCTGCAACACCACCAGCTCCCATACTTAAGCCACCTCGATGACTTCTCGAATTAGAATGAGAGCTGTGTGACATGGCAACTCCAGAGCGACTTGTATCGGCGTAATCCTTGCGTGCCAGCACTGACAAGGCCCAATTTTTTGTGTCATTATCCACCTCCTTCTCAGACTTCATTTGTGCACTGATGTCAGGCACAAAAAGATTTTGATCTAAACATGCAAGATTACGAACAATCGCCATGCCACGCTGAGCATCCTCGTCACTCAAGTCAACCGTATTAAGAAATGAAGTTAACTCTGCAAGTAACGCATGAAGTGGTGAGGTCAAATCAAGATTAAAATGACCATCACGTTGAGCCAACTCTAGTTTCAAAGTTCTGTTTTCCTCTGCGATTATATTTTTTTCTCGAGTGGCTTTCTCGGCCTCTAGTTCCACCGCCCAAACATGTAAAAAGTCTTGACGCATTACTCGATCGACATCTCGGTTACGCAGCAACATAACAAAAGTGAATACCATCGGGAAACAAATGACTAAGATTCGATTCAAAATAAACTGCATAGAGTTGGTGACAGGATAAAAAATGAGCGTCAGAGTCATATAAGAGACACTTGTGATCACACCAACTACTGCGAAATGAAGTGTATCAATTCGTAAGAGTGGTACAAATACCGAGATCATGATTAGTCGAAGAAGATTAATGTTCATAGTAGCTGCTGGAAGGAGGATCTCCTTAGTAAATGCTTGTAACACCTCTGCACGAGTACCTGCGATTGGCTTTAGTTGCCAATCCGAACGCATCGTGCTATTAACGTAGAAAATATGTGCGTCGTCACCAGCACCAATTTCGAGCTCGTCCAAAATTACATCAACGTTCTTAGAGACATAGCTGTACCATTCCGTAAGCATTGAAAACATACCACCTGCAATAATAGAAAAGCTCCAACATAGTAATACGAGCGTATAAATTCGTTGAAAGTAGATTTCGTATGCTCGTCTTCGGCTTATGTAAATGAGCACTGGAATGGGTAAAATGGGTGTAAAAACCAGTAGAAAATACTGAGAACTCTGGGATCGAACGTTTGCGTCTTTTGAAATTAGATTAGACAAATTGGACCCTGTGAATGCTAGGTACATGAGAAAAAAGATCATCGACACTCGTGATGCCCTTGCAGAATTTTCACGCGCAAAAGTAACTTGATACAGTTGTTCGAGTCGTGGTTCATTCATAAATGTGCTTGTGATAGGATGATAACGGACTTCAACAGGAGTTTTCTTTGTCTGGACTACAAACGTAGCATCGGTGTGTGGATATATACGTGAAATTCGCTGATTAGCACGATCCTGATTTAAAACTGTCCGAATAGCCTCAGAGCCGTGATGACATCCCTGAAGAAAGTTTGTATCATCCTTTCCAGCGGAGTGTGTGGTGAATAAGGTTAGACCACCACCAAGAGTTCCCTCCTTCATATCAAAAGACTTTCCACGAAAAAGAGATGACTTCTGAGCTCCTGGCGCCACATTATCGGGCGCCGAGCGCTCGTCTTCCTTTAAAACAACCGGAATTTTCACACGACGCGTCGTGACGGACGCGGTACGTAACACTGGCTCTGCAGCTATTCTCTGCCTACTTGGAACACGAAGCGTCAATAGACTCTTGCTTTCTGCCTATTTTTACCGTTCTTCGTATGCAGTTAATCGTGCTCAAAACTAAAATGGTGGATGACGTTTGAGACGTGGACGAAGTCTTGCCCAAGAACAGAGTACTTTTTCCAAGGATTGTGCGAAAAAGTCAGAACTTTATTAAGCCGAACCCGAGATACCAAGACTCGATACGCAAAGTGTAAATGCGGGGCTAAATAACTAAATTTTTTGATTTCTTACATGCTTGTCATTCGGAATAGAATGTACAAAATGAGTTGTCGAAGTTGGTGTAGATTGCGAAATCAAAAAGCAGTCGACTATCGAAAACTTGATATCTGATTTCATTTGGGAGCATGTATTAACATTAATATCCGAATACGATCAAATCATGCATGTTATCCTGTTGAAGGTTCAAGGTGTTTGATCAAGCAACAAGTGGATGTAGTATCATTTCATTTCAGAGAATGTTGTGCATGTTGTTCGGACAGCATAGCATTAAACGATATTAGTATGTGTGTACTTATGTGTAATATCAGAACCTTCTCACTAACGATGACATAAAAAGAAAGAGACATTTTGCTTTTGATGATCTAGCCTTGCCAATCATGGATTTCATCGTTGGTGGCTGAAACCCATGCGATTGATCGATGTACTAACGTACGGGTACTTTGCAATGTCGTAACCCATGAGCTCGGTAGGCTCTGTATTCAGCAATTGTGGAAACGGTCGAAAACGCGAGGAGGTCGTAACCCAAATAATTTGTACTTGAAAGCCATCAAGGTGAGAGCCAAGACAACCAATTCTCCTTACTATACCATCATTCGTACTGGATGTCATTCGATGAGGCTGAGGCTGAAAAGGCTTAAAGGTGAGTACCCGCTCATAACGTTAACTGCTTGAGACTTTTCTGTAGTCTTATTCAGTCGAACTTATCCGTAAAATACTGCAGAGTGATCATGCGGTTGGACAGGGGGAGTATGGCCTCGACTTAAGAAAAAAAATGCTACCATATCAATGGAGACTTTACACCATCTTCAGGGACAAAAAATGCGTCGACGAAATTTCTTGATCGCTTACGCTTGCAGGTCAAGCTGAAATAATAATACTCTATCAAATAAATCTTATGTGCGCTTGAATGGTTGCCGCAAGAAAGATTTATCGAAGCGCGGCTGATAATCGACGTGAATTATATATTTTTGAGGGATGTTTGCGATACGCCTAGTTTAATCATCGATGCAAAGACAAAAGCCCGTCGATGCTCTTATATTGGATGTAGCAGGTGTGTGTGATGAAAAGTATGTCGTAAATGCCTTAAATGATTCTTTTATTTTTATTGACCCCAGTCAAAGTTTGTCCTACTGAGCTAGCGAACGTTTAACATTGAGACAATAGGAAAGAGAACACCAATAGTTTCCGCTGCTAAGTCGGCATGACGTGCTGTCATGACAACTTCCAACCGTCTGAACAAGAGTCAGACCAAAATTAGACAATACTCACATTAGCACCGAAAAGTTATGTGAGAATTTCTAAGTGATTGGCATTTCGGTATCTATGGAGATAACAGATCTTCGATAAGGAGAGGTTTGTGGTACACTTGGGCTGCTAGCTGGTCGTAAGACAACTATGGGAGACAGGTAATCGGTCTTTGTCGCAAAGAACGCGAGAAAATGGTTTGGCATTTATTTGGTGTTACTCTTGATAGATATAGATCTAAATATATACTCTTGTAAAACCTTTCGGTTCTGCTCCTGGTAAAAGCGCACGAACCCGACTTCTGCGCGTTAGTTTATGCGGACTCTAAAAGCCAAATCTTCTTCTAAGCAAAGTGTATGACAACCTCGGTGCGAATGTATAGGTTCCGCCGAAATGCTTTGAATACATACATTGATCCGCGTCACTTTTTCACGAAATGCCTTGTAAATTTTTGCTCTGAACCATGTCCTAACGTTTCTAGTAGACGGGACCGTTCCAGCTAGATTTTTGACTGCTGTTTGTTTTCCATATCGTAGGTGTCAACTAAACAAATTATCACGAAAACACATATCGAGTACAGCGAAATGTGTCTACAAATCCACATCGCAATTTTCAATCGAACGCTGAATTAACATCGGCCTCGTATATTGCCTACGAGCTACTAATTGCGTGCGCTGGTTTGAAAGTTCAAGTGTTAAGTGTTAAGGCCAATGATTACTCCCAGGCTGCGATCTGCGAAGCATGCAGACGTAAGACAAATTTATTTGTGAGTGAGCCAGAATGGAAGTCATCAAGCCATACTACTTAACTTCGTAGGACATGATGGCAGACATATTCCCGAGGCGATGTTGACGACTGGACGCCTTTTGAATGATGATCGGGACACGATTTCGCGGATTTGCGTCGCTGCTTTGGAGTTGAGTATAGCTTAGTTATATGCTATGGTAGAGGCGTCGCTTTTTCTGGAAAAGAGCTCTTCACGCCCGACTCGTTCGTAAGAGCGGGATCGAAGTTTGGCGTCGGTCAGACAACATAAAATACTTAATGTGTTTACAATCTCTGAAGGGTATTAAGAGTGTAGTTCAATCCTTTCTTTGCTACGACCGTGAGCGGCACGATAAGGCGTGGTCGCGACCTGGTTATACCACTTAATTTGTCAGTACTTTGGCTGCATTCAATACGACCTTTTGCCTCACAATGTATTTGCGTATATTTTTTTTGTCTCTGGCATCGTGGTGTTGCTTTTGTTTGTCATGGCTCTCAACCATAGCGTCAGGCGCCATGCGCATCACCTCAATATCATTGAGATGTAATCATCGGATTTGCTTAGAAGTATAATTGAGCTGATATGAGTAAGTTGATTTAGATCGACGGCCTCTCCTATACCTTAACCAGAGCCGCTTCGTCGTGATATCAAAGGCAAGCGTGGGGTTACTAAACCATTTTGTAAGTTGGAGTAAAGTCTGTAGAGATATGCACTGGGCAATTCCGATTCCTACTAAATAACTGAAATCGAATCGCTCCAGCACCGCAATCTATCTGAGCAAGATATTTGAACAATATCATCTACAGCGGAATTCAAGCTCTCCGTTTGACCACCTGTTTACGGATGTTCAGCGGTTGACATATCCATCTGGTGCTGAGTCCATCGAGAAGTGTTTGCCAATACTTCGCTGTAAAGTACGGATATCTAATATCACAATGGCTACCGGCAAGTCATGTTGGTGCAACACCTAGACGAATAAAAAACCCTCACCAGTCGAATAATTTCTAAGATGAACCAACTTGCTCGGACAGTCCACAAAGACCACAATATCAGCATTGCCGAACTGTTTTGTTGGGAGATCAAGAAGCGTCCATACAGATTGACTGCCTACAGTATGCCGAAATCGGCAGTCTGGTCAAAAGTCCCACCACATGCGGCGCGCTTTTAAACCGTTGCCACGTTCCACACGTTCGCGCTTATGTGCTAAGACTCTTTTTCCTGTTGATCCTCCATTTCATAGCGCTCACCGAGCAGTACATCTTTCCTCTTATGAGGTGTCCAATGAGTGGAATTTCATGTGTCACGTACAGTATTTTGTACCTGATGTCTTCATCACTTCACGCTGAGTCTCATATAATTCAGTGCTATGATACGGCAAGATTTTGTATAAGGCATAGCGTAGCAGGTGTGTAAGCGCGCTCTTCGATAACGCCACATCTGAATTCTCATAATTCTTGCTCTTCAGATATATCAACAATGCTAAATACGTTCAGTGTAACCCAAATGCCGTACGTTTCGCCTTATCAACTTGAGACGCCACTACTTCGAAAAGCGACGATTCATTATCGAGGCGGCGCGAAAGCGCATCAGCCACCAAATTAAGTGATTTGGTCTACACCTTGGCAAAAAGGTATGCTCGGCAAAGAAGGAAAACCATCTTGCAATTATCTGGAAGAGGTGAGGTGACGGCGTCGCTATGCGAAACGATTATAAATAGCCAAAAGCCAAACAGGTGCACCCCGAAGTTGAGTAAAGCAAACTTTATTGCAAGTCATGGTCATGGTACTTTCTTCTCAGCAGCTTTCAGCTGGCGAGGCTCGAACACGATCACGTGTTCGTGCCCATTGATATCCGCTTTTGGTAAAACTTAGCCTTTCGCTAAAGTGTCACAGACGACGTGAAATGACCAATTTGGAGTCGAAAGGAGACACACATGATAGCTTTAGAGGCCATCATTTCCGCCACACCCCGACATTCCTTTCATCCTTTACAGATGATTGGTGATGGGGCAGCATGGTTGACACTGTACTTACGCAAGTAGACGCAATATTTGGGTTTAGAAACCATGACAAATTCATGACACACTTCTCTATTTGGAGGAACACGCGTGGTGAATTTCATTACCACTTAATAATATTGCGTCAACAGAGGATGCGTAAAATCCTTCAGGATAACTGTTCTGACTCACAAATCCAGAGGTCCGCGAGTCTCCTCAATGATGGGTTTATCTCTGACAGCTGACGAGCTCAGCTCCTCTTCTGGTGTCAACCATAGGCATCACCGTCTTGCAACCTTTTACACCTTTCTCCGAGAAATTATTCCCAGCTAAAGATAACGTGGAACCTACCATTCTTAGAAATACACCGGTGACTGCGTTCGCGATAGTCTTTCTCGTCACTTACGGTAGATGCAGCGGGGCTGCCGTAGCTTAGCGCTTGAGGGAGCGTCATTTAGGTCACCGACCTTTCGTTCTATACTCAGAACAAGTACGAGTTAGTGGATCGCAATCCGCTTACTCCAAGAGTAATTATTGCCTTCCCAAGGCTAATTAAATTCGTTTTAGAATCCAAAACTGATTTTTTATCCAAGTTTTGAAAGTTAAGATTTTCCTAAATATACTAAATATATATAGTAAAATCTAAATACATGCATATCTACTGGCCACCTAGCCACATACCGTATTTTTGTTTGGGTGCAGTCGCACCATGCACATCTCGTGTGACACACACCCCTGTTACCAGGGTACATGCAACCCCGTTACAGTAGATCTTCACTACTTCACACGGTTGGCTTGATACACGTTAGTACTGACTTTGCAGTGCATCGCGTCAATGATGAGTTATCCTTCTTATCTTGAAGGCTATTCCTCATATTCACGGTTCGAGATGCCGTCTCTGGTAAGGAAGATTGCGATAATTAATTGGTTCCACCCTGCAATGGTCTTGGAATAGTAGACAACAACTTACAACTGTTTTGTTGTTGTCTTGATAGAGAAACACTCTGCGAATCAATACTTTCCTGTCTCAATAGAGGAACAATCTAGAGACTGACATAAACAATCGCTCATTTTCATCTGTCATAAGAACTCGGCTAAATACCGTATCTGTCTTCCGGGCACAAGGCCCCTAGCAATAATATTATTGTCAATATCGGGTAGTCCCATATTTTGCGCAACAACGCGCTACTTATTTCAAGTAGATACCCGTCAAAGCTCCACCAAAACAAACGTGCGTGACACCAAGCCTTTTTGAGTTTCATTAGACCCATGACTCGTGGCATTCCAGTCACTCCATACCTAGAATGTGTTATCATCTCAATTATAAGTCCAGGACTGAATGATGTTCCACGCTGATAACGTCCACAAACGTTACTTAAATGTTCTACATACTGATCGAAATCATCCTAGTGTCACCGTTGCTAGGTGCACATACACCATATTTGCGTTTGGCAGCTTCAGTACTACCGCATACTATCTACTGTTGTCGACAGCCGTGCATCATCCGTAATCAAATAACGCAACAATCTATCAGGCTATCTCACGGCTTCTCAAATCCCAGAGCTTATGTCAACCAACAACAAATCCATGCTGTAAGTTTCAGCGCGATTAAAGAAAACGTTTTTCTCTAATTGAAACGACCTCGACTCTTTCCAGTAGGCCGCTCTGCGGCTACTGAGCATTCTCCGCGAGAGCTTCGTTGTCCTCCCTTGCGTGACAGACCTACCAATCGAGCTTTTCAGCCAAGCGCAATGGGGGTACATAAAGAATAAATAATTTATTTTACCGCAGAAGAAAGTCTTTGAGTACGTGAAGCTACTCAGCAGCTAAGATATTCCTATTTTATTTATGAACATGACTGAGGTCTATGACCTCTGGCGCGCTCCTAGAGCTTTCGTTTTCATCACTCCACCCTACCTTCACAGCACAGAGGCTGTATATTGCATTGTTTGAGATACCCATCGATTCTCTGTAAGAGGTATGGTTAAAGCGGAAGTTTTCAGTTGAAGCCGCACTTGTTTGGAGACCCTCCGCGAACATAGTAACTGCTACCGCCCTTAGGAAAGGATCGGAATCCATTGCAGCCCGGGACATACAAAGTCTGCAGGGTCTCACCTTTTTCGACGTGTGGACAATCACTCTGAAAGCAACTTTACGCCTGGTTAAGCGAGCAAACACTCGCGACGTCTGTCGCTACAGGTCTTTCCAAGTTGGGATCACCTATTTCACCGAGACATCGCGCTTGAGTGCTCATTCTCGCGCGGGACCTCTTAACTTGGAGATTGCATGTGCGACGCGCTGAATCTCATTTAGCAGAAAGTCCGAAGCCATGACCATTTCAACTTTCCTCATCCAGGCGAGGGTTTTTTTCGTTCCGATCCTCAAACGTCGGAACGCTCAGCATCAAAAGCCTCATCAAGATTATAGTACTTGCTCAAGAACAACAAATGTCCGTATGTTGAGGACATCATTATTGCAGTAAATAAGCCTTGTAGATCCGTGACGTCACAGACACCCTAAAGGCACTTTCAAGTGAAGACGATAGATAACGCAACTTATATCGTGGAGTTGCAGATAAACGATGGCAAGAGTGCCAAAGCGCATAGCACCTTATATACGCAATTGATGAAGCGGTTCGGTTCGCAAAAAGCCGAGGTGACTGATAAATATTATAGTGTCAACAAACGGATGCGGAGGTCTGAGTCATAGAAAATTTGCACCCTTCCAAAATTGATCGACTCTTGGGTGTAGATACACTACGTTGTTCTTCCTGCGAGCCTAGGCGCGAACACCAACGGTCGGCTTCAATCCTTGCCATCTGACCGGAACGTTTTCGACGTAACTCCTAAATCAAGGTTGTGTATGTGAACGCTTCACCATATGATGCTTGGACCTCTTTCGTATCTGATTCTATGCAAGCAAATATTCAACTACTGGAGTATACGAACGAATGGTGTTTCCGATCGTTTTTTTTTAATCCTTGATAACGCTTACTGTGTAGTCTGCTTTACTGGAAGGAAATGGAGAAGATTTAATTTAAGTACGATCATCGCGTTGAGTCATTACCCAGTATGTGGACATCAAGCATTTACATCACGAGAGAAAATGTTGAAAGCATAATTGAGACGGCTAAAATCGACTTCGTGGACGCAGAGAATCGATTCACGAAAATGCATACTGAAGCTCTCATGACTCAGTGGCTTTTGAATGTACAGATATGAAAGATTATCCCGAATGTCAGCTTACACAGTGTTAGCGGTGATTGGGAGTGGCATGATGACGCCACACAATGCATGAACGGAATGAGTGAAAAAACACAAGATTACGGTGGTGTCATTATCACAAATCTATTCACGGTCAAAATGATATTGTTCATTGCTTAAGATAAATTTGATATGTATAATTAGATAATCTTGAATAAATAATCATAGCAGACGACAAGTATCTGCTATGATTTTGTAATCTGCATCCCGAAAGGCAAACATCTTCAGTCTACAATAATATCTTAAGCATGACACGGGTTGAAGACGGAGCCGATTATGTAGGACACGATAAACAGAGCACATCATAATTAGCATTCTAATGTATGAAAGAAAGATACGCTTTTTAATGAACACAATAAGTGCCTAAACACAAATTACCATTTGGTCTTCGCTAAATTTTGTTGTAATAGTTTGAATAAAATTTTACGTTACCGCATACTCGCTTTCTCACATTTAATACCAATCAGCAATTAGTTCGACCTCATACGTTTTTTTAACTTCGCAAAAGCCCATCATGGCAACGGTAGCCAAGAGTTTTAAAAACGCTTTCCAGGTCTTGACCCCGACGCGTAATTTTGGAGAGGGAAAGCGTGTGACGCGTGGCATCTGGTCGAAATATGCAGAACCTTCGTATTGGGAGGTTGTGCGCATTCGACCCTCACCCGATCTAAAGCACGGCAAAGTCTTTGGCAAATTTACGTTTCGCGGTGCGTCGTAATTATTGCAGTTTATTATATTTCTGCCGCACAATACTCACAGGACTGAATGTATGATAATCAGGCAAGACAGACCCTAAGGTTAAGCGCATTAATGGCGTGCTGAAGAAAGACTGGAGCCTCTACGAGGCGTAGAATACTTGAAGAATAGTGACATGCAGTATCATAGTGTCGATACTTACAAGAAGCACACGAAGCGAGCAACATGTACTGCTGTATCTGGTGAGATACTATTTGGGTTGAAAGTATGAATAATTTTTGAGATAGCTGGGCGTGTTGGCAGCTGGTTTGTATGCTTCATATCATTGAAACTCCTTACGTGTTCGCTGCAACCAAACGCATCAATGTGGTACAGACAATACGACACCTTCAGTAATATATTCATTGCCAGCTTAATCCGCGATTCTTTATCAGAGTCTTACCAATAAGCAACACTTTTCTGTTACAGAACGCCAAGCTTATTATAAGAATCTCACTATCAGTTTAAGAAAATGTCTAGCGCACGGTAAATTTTACTTTCCTAGTAGCATATTGCCAACTCATTTGATGTCTGTTCAAGGTAAAGACTGTCAACGTTCATCGACAAAATGTAGCAGATTATCAGCCACTCATCAGCCCAATCTCAACACCTATCCAATATCATCACACTACCTTTTTAATTATATACAAACTGCAATATTCGAGAATTTTTGTCTCCAAAATCTTATTTTATTACGCCACGTCATTTGATTTTATTATCAACAATTGTAACTCAATGAATCTTCAAGCCAAACTTGGCGTCTTGTGTCTATGCTGTGCGTCATGGTGGCGCAACATGAACGCTCTCGAGACTTTCACATCAACTACTGAATTTGCTTCTGTTGAGAACTCAGCTAAATTGCATGCGCTGCTGATCTTAAGTACAGACGAAAAGAATCAGGAAATGAGCCTTGAAGATCTGTATGCACAAGCATATCCAGTGTTACCGGAAGTTGAGAAGCAACTTGAAGGACTTGTGACTTTTGGTGTTGTAGACATTGCGTCACGTCATGAAGATTCAATCGGCAACAAATGGAAATTAAAATCATTACCTGCGTTTGTAATCTACAAAGGTCCACCCAAGGAGAATCCGTACACGGGTAAAATCTATCGTGATTCAAAGGTTATTGATATTGCAATCTTGGATAATGCACGAAAATTGAAAAAGATGCTGAAGCAAGCAATTCCCACTGAATTTGTGCAAGAGCTCAAGGGTGATGAAGCAACAATGACAGGCCTCGAAAAGCGATTGAGTGAAAAACAAGACGACGAATCTGTGGCACTATTACTTTCAGAACAAAAGCATGCATCACCAATGTATCGAGCTTTAGCGGCAGAATTTTATGGTCAAGGAGTGAATTTTGTGTTCTTAAGTCATGTTGAGGAAGGAGCGAAAGACATCATGACTGCGTTGAAAATTGAGGAGTTGCCAAGTTTGGTCATGTTGAGATCTATGACGGAAAGTGTTACGTTAATGGCTGAAAATACAAAGACATACGAAGAACTGAAAGGATTTGTACAGCCATTTGCGATTCAAAGTAAGGATCCAGCTAAGAAGGGATCGAAACAAGGAAACGAAGACTTATCGTTCGTTAAATTTTTATCTCGAGAGACTTTTGGCGATGTTGTGCTTCGCTCGGATGTGATCTGGATAATTGAATTTTTGGATGCCGAGCGCGAGCAAGAGCTAAATCAAGAAGAGTGGAGAGAGATGTTGATGGGATTGCATCGTAAAGCAGGCGTCGTATCGATGGGTGCAGTTAGTTGTGTGAAAGAAATTGATCTATGTGAGCAGTATGGTGGACCTGGAATTCGTATTTTTCCTTTAGAGCTGGCTGCTGACAACAAGCTGATGCGAGGTGATGTTGATCCACAGACATATACAACCATCAATGAGGCAATAGAGTCAGCAATAGCAGCTATTCCAGACCTCACTGTTGTCATTAATTCTGCTCCTGAATTAAATGGATTCATTTCCCGTGCACGACATGACCACGCATTGCCCACTTTATTTTTCACTAATAAGAAACACACACCACCGATGGCCAAAGCTTTGTTGCTTTCTGTCCCGACGCAGAAAATCATGCTGGCTGTTATCTACGATGCCAATGATGAACTGAAGAAGCAATTTTCAATCAAGCCATCTGCTAGTACGTCGCTAGTATGTCTTGTGCCATCTCAAGCCGAGATAGAAGACCAGAAATCGACACCATTTGGAATCGTTGCCTACGATAAAAAAAGGAATGGCCCTTACAACTACCCAAATGTTATCCAGTTTATACTGCAGGTTCTTGCCCAATTTCCTCACCCTCAAGATACTGAGCCGGATAGCAAGACAATCGATTTTTCATCTATTGACGAAACGTCTGCCCAGACACTTGTGCCGTATATGACTCGGCAGAATATGGCTGACCTGTGCGGTGGCAACAAGATTTGTGCAATAGGATTCTTTGAGGACCATGTGGATACGATAAGTGATACAGAGTCTCGCCTTGCGAAGTGGTTGGTTACCTTTGCGCATGTGGCAGCTCAGAGTAAGCAGAACAAAGAGCCGTTTCACTTTATGTGGGTCAATGGAAAATGTCAAAAAGCATTTGCCGAAGCGTTTGGAGTCGGTCTCTTTCAAATGCCGACGCTTGCTGTGTATTCACCATCAAAGCAGCGCTATGCTACAAATGTGGGTCTTTTTGACGAGGAAAATGCGGCTGCGTTTTTAAAAAGCGTGCTTTCTGGTAGAATAAGTACTGCGCCGATTGGAAATGTGCCAGAATTTGTCGAAGAGTGTTCGTTTGAAGAAATTCAAGAAGTAGCAGCTGACACCAATGGCATTGCCGATGATGAAGATTTGGACGATATGCTAAGTGAAATTCTTTCCGAGGAGAAGCAGCAGCGCGAGGAGCTGGAGAAAATGCTCAAGTCACAGCAAAAGGAAAAGCGGGCGAAAAAGAATAACAAAAAGAGCAAAAAGAAGCACAAGGAACAGAAGAAAAAATCGAAGAAGAAGAAGGGTTCTCGCGATGAGTTATAAAGCAACGATTGGTCGATCTTTGCTTGTGTGAATACAAATCTATCGTTTGTGTGGTTAGATTTAGCTCAATATTTAGTTAAAAGTGCAAAATACACATGGCTTGAGTGTTCAACGAATTTTTAGGAATACGAAACGGAGTTTTGCATTAAAAATTATAACACTCGCTTCCAAAGGCTTTATGTCACTCAATGTTTGAATTTGCGAATTACAAACCACGATGCAAGTGCCAAGTTGAATGCTGACCACCTAATGTGCTTGCTGTCAAAACTTGATAAAAGGCAAGCATTTCTCGCTAGCGGCTATTGCGCGTGGACGAAGAGCTGTGGTGTTTATTTTATTAGGGTGTTTAATTCAGTTAAAGAAAGTGTCAAACTTGCAATTGACAAGGTACAGATCTGTAATGAGTAGCTAGATCCTTTTGAAGATTTAAATGAAACAATGGTAGAGGACGTGCAGGAATTCTTTGAGTGATCTTAGTCCGTGCATTTTACCAGGTACCCTGATCTATGCGCTGAGACACAAGCCTAAGTTCAGGACCGCTGTCGCGTTGAAAGATCCTCTTAGCTTTAACAAAGCGCGTTGGATTTCCCCAAAAGTTTCGTTGTGTATCCATCACGATCATCAAATGTCTGTTGGACGTCCTTGTAGATAGATGTTCATCATCGGTTTGGTTGGTTCGAGGCACTCAAGCAACTCGAAACCGGATGCCTACATCGGCGACGAAGAAAATACAGCCACTGGGCAATTGATTTGTTACTTGATTCCCAACCAGACGTCATAAGAGTAGGGATCAGATGTGGTTTGTTTAGCTCATATAGAACAAAGGATGTGTTTGATGCGCTGGTGGCTCAAAATGTACAGATGCACTTTGCCCAGGAGACTCAGTTTCATCTAACTGAGTCTTACGAAGCAGTGGCACTTGTATTGACAACGTATCCGATATACACGACATATTTGAGCTGCGATGGCACCACGTCATAGAACAAGGGCAAGATGACTGTGAAACCTTAAGAGGTGTTGATGTGTATGGCGAAGTTTGTTTGAGATGCTGAGTGAGATGGTTGAGGCATACTACGAATGGGTTCGGCTAACTTAATCACAGTATCATTAAAAAAAAATGAGGACACATTCGCAGAGATTCTACCTTGATGACTTCTCTGATGCCCTTAGACTCCTTACCGATTTCAACACAAGTCAAAACAGATATGGTATTTGCGTTTCAAATTTTACAACATCGTTACGCTTATTTCATGAAAGCTCAAAAAAGTGATCGGAAATTTTCATTTTAGGGGTTTACTGAGCAAGCTTGAATATAATGATTGTAAAAAAAGTTGTTTTTCTTCGTGTTCACAAAAAAGAAATATTGAGGGGTCTGTCTGATGCAATGATACCGCGTAAAGTTGCCTATTTGATTGTGAAGCCTGGGTCCATACATTAATGCCTAAAGTTAACCAGACTAGCGTGGAAAGAGATCCACTCCAAATCGTTCAAATCGTAAATAGCAAAATTCTGATGCACAGGCTAGCCAGCAGGTCGACTCGAGGTCTTTCAAAATGTTAAGTGATGATTTTGTTACGGGTATGGTATTTCATCAGCGTCAAATAGGTGACTAAAGCTAAATTTTCACTGCGCTTTTCCGTACCCGCTGGTTTTCAATGTTAGATGTCACAGCGTTTTTACAGCGACATTATATTTGCAGCGGGGCTGCCGTATCTCTTTGCTCAAAGGAAGCTAAGCTAAGGTCACCAACCTTACGTTCTTTCCAAGAACGAGTTCTATTGTGGCAGATCGCAACCGCTACTTCTAAGTACTAAAAACGTTTACCAAGGCAAACGAACACTCTTGTTCGTTTCAAAACTAAATTTAATAGTTTAAGTTGCAGCAGAGCCGCCAATATGTAAATCCAGCTTCTTTAGTAATACCTCAATAATATATTAATATGCAGTACTACTGGCAATCCTGTCGCGTGGTGTCTTCTTGTTACGGTGTAGCCACACCACTGTATTATTACACTAACTGTAAAATACACACCTATAAATGGCCGCACAGAATTGTGCGATTTGCCCTTTCTTACAAGGTCACTGTAACCTCGTTACACTCTCACCCATTAAAATCGTGAAAATCACCATTTCACATTGAACGGTCGCCTCATACGAGGCTCGCGTGTCTGAGACACATAAACGCTCTTCAAGAACAACTTCAAACATTCTCCGCTCTATGAACCCTGTGTCTACGATACGTAAAAAATACACTTAGCCTGGCTGGTAGCGAGGACGCCCGCGGGCAAGCCCTTCATCTTCTGCACAGATTCAGTACGTCCGCGGCTTCCCGGGAAGCACATCCCAAGCCCTCGGCAACTGAGCGCAACACACCGCGACCTCCTCGGGCAACGGATTTCCATGTCGGGGAGTTCGAGGAAGACGACAACGAGTCGGACACATCTTTCCCAGTATAGGAAGATATAGTGTGCCAAGGCGGGACGTGAGTCCAGCTCAAACCCTGCGTATACTATATACGTCGGCCTCGACGAAGCACAGGAGCAGCGACCGGAGGTGCTCTCCTGGGCTCGTATCCACTTTCGGCCTTGGACACTCGTGAAGAATACGGCATCCGCTCGGCGGTCACCGCTACTAAATCGAAAGACGCGATCACTCGATCATTAGGCGTCTACGTAGTCAGACTCCCGGCCACTACGCAAGCTGAGCTTGATCAACGAAAAGCTCTGTGAGCTCGCTTTTTGGTACACCAAGAGATTCCAATGAATCGGGAGCACGCTCGACTTCGAGCTCAAAAAGGAGGTAATCCTATTCCCGCAATGCGGACCATTCCTGTGGTGGTCGCCCCTGGTGAAACTGCTGCAGATGATGAGGAGCTTGTGCAGCGGCACTGGAAACTTTCTTTGCTGTTTACCTTACAGCGAAGTCACAAGTAAAGTGGACATGAGCGTAGAGCGCCATCTTAAATTTGAGTTCGCCAAACTCAAGGTGCAACGCCGACTTCCTGCGTATTTTCGCCCTGCGACAATCCATAACGCTCCTGCAGGCTCTGTGGTATCTTACACCGGTAAGTTAACGGCCACAATAGCTCAGGGTCGTAGCTTGAGCTCAGCTCACGGCCCTCTAGCTTCCTGTGCTACTGCCGAGAATTGCAAAAAAAACGAAGCGTCATGACCCTTCTAATCACAAGTGTCTACGACGTCTGGGCAGTCTTGCCGAAGCAAAATGAAGCGTCATGATCCTTCTAATCACAAGCGTCTACGACGTCTGGGCAGTCTTGCCGAAGTGACAACTCAATCTCCCACGACTTCTCGGAGTTTGGGTATCTTCGCCACTTCACAAGATATTGGGTTAAATTCCGTCGACGACGTCGAACTACAAGGCGTTCCACGTGGTAGTGGACGCCATCATACTCAACGAGAAGAGTCGGCGGGGGCGATGACGACTAAGTCAATCGGCGGGGGCGATGACGACAAAGTCAATCGCCGTCCGGTGACTCGCGATGCTCTTCGAGTTGGAGGACGAGAACCGTCGTCATCGGTACTTTGCCGAGCATCTCTCCGAGGTCGCCTTTTGCTGTGCGGAAGTACTTGATGCCTGGTGTACATTGTGCACCTGCCTCACGTTGAGGATGATCGTGCTCTGTCGGAGCGACTCGTAGCCGTCGAGCACGCGAACGCTTCACTCCGTGTGATAGTGGAGCGCCTTGTGCCGTTGGAAACGTAAATTGTTGCAATCCATGCTCAGAACCAGTTGCTAGTTCAACTTCTGGGCGGCCATTCATCTTTGGGCGCCTCCCCGACGCCAACGGTCCCGCTTCCTCTAGCGTCGAATCCCGGTACGGCTAAAGCAAGCCCACATAAAACACCGGATGGGCGCGCATCCTTCTCGGAAGGTTCAACGTACAGGCTAGGCCTCGCTTGGCTACAACTATGAAAGGTCAAATAAACCGTGGACGGAGCTTCGTCCTAAGAACAGCAGAAATTACATGTGTAGGATGGTTTTAGCCTTTAATAAAACCAGATCTCCGACCTCAAAGTTTTGTTTCTTCCGCCTGCATATTCAGTCTGCATGGCTTGGCTTTCAGCCATCGCATCGCGAACACACTCAGTTTGGTAGACAGAAAGTCACCAACTTCTTTACGCACAGTGAGGGGGCTGACATCAGCTAGCCGCTCGGATATCCTTCCCTCGCCAAGCCCTGCTCCATGGGATGGCATCGTCAGCGGGACGCGATGAATAAATAGCCGTTCACGTAGAACGGGTATAGCAGGTAGATCAATGCACTGCATTGTTCAGGGCAAACTCTTCGAGTGGCAACATAGCGCTCCAGCGCTTCGGCGTATCAGTGCAGACGCTGCGAGAAACATCTTTGACGACGTGATTCACGCGCTTAGTCTGATCATCAGTCTGCGGATGGTCCGCTGTTGACATGGTCATCTTAGTGCCCAGCACCCTGAAGCGTATAGCCAAAACTTCCTAGTGAAGCGCGGGTCTTCATCAGAAACAATTGAATCCGGGAGTCCATCGAAATACAGGATTGATAAACGGCGTCGCTGTTCTCACACCGCCGATGGTGTCCGGGACTGCCGCAAGATGAGCCATCGTGCTCAAATGGTCCACAAAGACCACCAGAGCCATGTTGCCCACCGAGTCCTTCAGCAGTCTAAACACAAAATTCATACTCATGGACTACCGACACCCGGAGGGTTCAGGTAACTGGCAAGCGGCACCACCGCATCCGGAGAGGGTTTCACCCTTTGACACGACTCACACTTGCGCATACGTGCTTGTCTATTTGTACAGCTTGGTGGTAACTCACCGAGCTGTACGCCCTCTCACAACCGAGACGACCACTAAGGGGGGGTGTCGTGGGCCTCACAGAGGATACGGTATTTTAAATTATCATCATGAGAGACCACGATTCGTTTGAATCAGTGCTATAATACAGCAAACCGTTTCTCAACGAATATCGGTGTAACTGTGCGCGCAAACGCTCCGACAATTTATTGTCCGAGTTTCCAAACTCCTTGCTCCCGGGAGCCTGTAGCAGCGTTACACACATACCGTCACCTGCGTATGCGGCGTGGATCAAATCCGTTACAGACGACATTACCGTCGTGACATGAGCAACCTCATAGTCCGGTCTGCGTGAAAACGCATCATTCAAAGTGTTCTGCTTTTCTGGATTGTTTTCACCTTGAACTTATATTCTGAAAAAATGAGAACCACCTGGCCATCCTCTGCGAGAGGTGAGGTGATTAAGGCGCAGTGCGTAAGGACGCATGATCGGTGTAGATCATAAACGGCTTTACGCCAAGCAGGTGCACCCTCAAATTGACAAGTGTATACTTTATCGCAAGTAATTCCATGTCATGAACTGGGTAGTTCCTTGTCGCAACCTCGAGCTGGCGAGATTCGAATGCGATCACCCGATCTCGCCCCTCGGTGTCTGCTTGCAGCAGTGCACAGTCGATGGCAAATCTGAAGCGTACTAGAATGACGATCGGGGTCTGGTAACGCCAGTATTGGTGCATGAAGGAGGCTGTATTTGACCCTATCAAAAGCCTCCCGATGCTCGGTGTCCAAACTCCATTCCTCATCCTTCTTAAAGAGATTAGACAATGGCCGTGACATTTCCTCATAATTTGGGCTATACTTGTGCAAGTAGTTGGCGAGGTCAAGCCACTTGCGCAAGTCCTTTTGGCTCTTTCAAACCGGCCAGTCCACAATGGCTTGACCTTAGAGGGATCCGCTTGAAGGCCACGCCTTCCAATGAAGCATCCTGAAAAGGAATCTTCTGCGCCAAAGATGCACTCATCGGCATAAGCATCCAGCATATTCGTGCGTATGCACTCGAGCACCGCTCTCAATGGACGATGTGGCTTTCCTCATCTACCTTCCCGTGCCCCGCAAAACTGTGGACGAAGAAGACGTCGAAGTATGGCTGAGCATGCGCCCAATGGGGACTAAACTGTTGTGTCACAAAATGATTAAATGTTGCTGGTGCATTTAAAAGCCCTTGAAGCATAACCATCCACTCTCAGACATCCCGCTCGGAGTACTCAACGCTGTTTGTGAAATATTATCGCTCTCATAAGCAACTGGTAGTAAAAATCCGACCAAGTCGAATGCGCTGTACTTTAACAGCCAGCCATATTGTTCTGGAGAGCATCCCTGCCAAGAATTGGCGTTTGTGCCAGAATGGTGACAGCGTTTGGCTTATTGTAATACCTCACTTGCCGTTCAGATTTCGGACACAACACGTGGGTGTCGAATGGGGGGACTTGCTCTCACGCACCATTCTTGCCTCGTGTTTCGCACGGAAAAAGTCGTCAATGACGCCACACTGCTCTGTGATCAGGGTCTATTGGCGAGTTACGCAGTATTTGGTTCCCTGAATCCGGTCAATTTCATGACGTGCACCTCGGTCCGGCGGTAGAACTGACGGCGGGTCTTTGGAGACGACATCTTTCAATTCCTTTATTAAAGGATCCTTCAGGATCAACGATTCACTACGTGCTCTCAACACCTTCTTAGTGACCTCTAGGATAGCTTCATCCAGAAGCAACGACTATTTAATCTCCACGTTTGGTCTTCCGTAACCACCTCGGCTTAATTGCCTGCGTTCAAAGCGCCGCTAAACTCTTCGAAGTACCGCCCGTTCAGCTCAAGAAGAGCGTTCACCGCAGGAATAGCTTCGAAAGTGACGTCGCCGTCTTTCTCTCCCGTCATACCGTTGACAAGGGTATATGATTACGCGCTATCGTCTACAGAAGATACACCCTGGGTCAGGGTCGACGCCCTGCGTCTTGCAGATATCATACGGCATCGCCGTC